ACCCTCTGAGCATCCTTGCACGCTATGTTGCTCCTGGGAGACACCGACCAGAGCACATGGCTGCAGCGAAGAGGGTATTGCGCTACCTGTGCAGTACGTCGGGCATGGGGCTAGTGCTTGGAGGGCGGAGTCCAGTGGTCCTTACTGGGCACGCAGACGCTTCTTGGGCTGACGACCAGGCTACGCAGCGGTCGTCACAGGGTTACACCTTCAGCCTTGGTTCCGGCTCTGTCTCGTGGCGGTCTACTCGCTCGTCTTCGGTTCTCGGCTCCAGTTGTGAGGCTGAGATCTACGCCGGGGCCATGGCTGCACAGGAGCTTCGCTGGCTCACCTACCTGCTGACTGACCTTGGAGAGCTGCCTCGTTCTCCTCCAGTGCTGTACGTAGACAACAAGGCCATGTTGGCCTTGTGTCGAGAGCAGCGCTTGGAGCACAGAACGAAGCACATTGCTCTCCGCTACTTCCTTGCTCGTGAGCTGCAGCAGCGTGGTCAGTTGCGACTTGCTTACGTGGCCTCTGAGGCCAACACTGCTGATGTGTTCACCAAGGCACTTGCGCCTTGCGACCATCAGCGCTTTCGTACCCAGCTGGGTCTTGTACCTGTCTTGCCTCACTTGCTCTCTTCTTGACTTTACTTGTACTTTGACATATATATACCTGCTCTTGCTTGTCTAGTTTTATATATATGTCTTTACTCCTGCATGTGAACTGGCCTCTGGCCTTGCTCTTGTGCTCGGACTGTGTGGTGACTTTGTGATCCACCCTGAGCTTGTTTTGCTTTGCTTGACTGGTCTTGTGACCCCTTGTTCTCCCCCACTTTGCCTATGGGGGTGTGTCAGATTATTATAGCTGATGCATGTTTGTAGGCTATAGTGGGGTAGCACATATGGGGTACAGTTTGCTAGGGTTGTATTTGTACCCAACTCTGACTTAGTCAATTCATTCCTCTGCTCATAGTTTCACAGCGCTTGGGCGTCTAAAATTAATAGGTTTTTGTCACGGTTTACTGGGATGTTTTGGGTCTCTCCAATTTTTGCTACCAGGTCATTCTGACTATAGTCATAAAGCTTTATGATTTTTTTATATGGTTTATCATTATATAGAATTGTTATGGTCCGTAAAAACTTGGTACTGTTTATTCTCTTTCTGTATACTCTATCTGCTGTGTCACGAAATTTAAATTGTGCGTTCCTTGTTATGGATTGTTTAACATTCTGATAAACATTTAGGCAGATTCAATTAATTGTGAACTTTAGCAAAATGTATATGCGTTCAATTTCTTTCATAAAATTTGTTAAACTACATTTTGTTACGATGATTCAAACGTATCCAGGTATCTTTGCACCCAAAATTGACGAGTAAACAAGACAAAATTTAGGACCCCGAAATAAAGTACCCAAATTTGTACAGTGTTTCAGGGTGGGTCAACGAAATGATGACATGGTTCATCTATGATAGCAAAGTTTCGAGTGTGACTACCCGTGATAGAAATAAGTGATTTTAAGTGACGGCGGGTGATACCCGTGTGATGGTTCAGAAACAAAGTGGAAATAAGATTTATAAGTTCTTGAGTGCTGTGTGATTACACTACACGCATATACACGAGACGCAATTTGACTCATGGAAGAGAAACTGATATTAGTACGATGAACAATGTATTAACATGAAACATGGCGGGTATCAGAACGTATAAGTCAAATTAACATATACAGACTTGTTTCCTACTGAGTGGTTTTGTAAAGGGGCGATCATACAAACCAATCAACCAACTCTAGGTTTTGATCAACCGAACGCACATCACAGACTCTAGTTAGGGTTTCGCGCCTTCGACGGAAAGGGGGGGCGGAGCAAGTCTACTAATCCGACTAAGGTACCCTTAAGTCTACTTATCTAGAGCACACCTTTGTAAGCGGTGCGTGTAGTATCAGTTATCGTATCTATGGCCTAGGGTTCCAAGTGAATGTCAGCCTATCTTTCATGAACTACTATCTTATGTGAGCCTTGATCGTCGTACCAGAGCGGGTTCGATTCAGGCACCATAATCTCGCATCCTTGGCCCGCAGTCCAAGGCGCACTAACGTCGCCATTGTTACGGCTGATACATGTCGCCAAAGTAGGACGCTGCTTTGGCGCCAAAGTAAAACGCTGCTTTGGCGCCAGAGTAAAACGCTGCTTTGGCGCCAGAGTAGAACGCTGCTTTGGCGCCAAAGTAGAACGCTGCTTTGGCGCCAAAGTAAATCGCTGCTTTGGCGCCAAAGCCTGGCGCTGCTCTGGTGCCAATGGCGGGCGCTGCTCTGGCGCCAAAGCATGGCGCTGCTCTGGCGCCAATGGCGCCAAAGTCCGGCACTGCTCTGGCGCCAAAGCCTGGCGCTGCTCTGGCGCCAATGGCGCCAAAGTCTGGCGCTGCTCTGGCGCCAAAGCCTGGCGCTGCTCTGGCGCCAATGGCGCCAAAGTCCGGCGCTGCTCTGGCGCCAAAGCCTGGCGCTGCTCTGGCGCCAATGGCGCCAAAGTCCGGCGCTGCTCTGGCGCCAAAGCCTGGCGCTGCTCTGGCGCCAATGGCGCCAAAGTCCGGCGCTGCTCTGGCGCCAAAGCCTGGCGCTGCTCTGGCGCCAATGGCGCCAAAGTCCGGCGCTGCTCTGGCGCCAAAGCCTGGTGCTGCTCTGGCGCCAATGGCGCCAAAGTCCGGCGCTGCTCTGGCGCCAAAGCCTGGCGCTGCTCTGGCGCCAATGGCGCCAAAGTCCGGCGCTGCTCTGGCGCCAAAGCCTGGCGCTGCTCTGGCGCCAATGGCGCCAAAGTCCGGCGCTGCTCTGGTGCCAAAGCCTGGCGCTGCTCTGGCGCCAATGGCGCCAAAGTCCGGCGCTGCTCTGGCGCCAAAGCCTGGCGCTGCTCTGGCGCCAATGGCGCCAAAGTCCGGCGCTGCTCTGGCGCCAAAGCCTGGCGCTGTTCTGGCGCCAATGGGCCCAAAGTCCGGCGCTGCTCTGGCGCCAAAGCCTAGCGCTGCCTTGGCGTGACTGTAAGGCTCTACATCGACGCCAAAGTCTGGCCATTGTGATGATTACCCTTTTACACTGTGCGCATGCCCTTTTTATGACACAGATTTTCTGTTTTTGTGACTCAATCCCCGTCAGTATTGTTGCTCGCAGATTTCTAAGCGCACTTGCCATGTTCACTTTCCTACGGAAACGGTAAGGTCATGTTTTGTTTGGGTAGTCAACAGTAGCTGTCATTTCCTTGTACAGCATGCAACCATGTGTGTGGACGTAATACGCGTATGTTTCTCCGTGAAACTCAAATGCAACGTGCACCTTTGTGTCCCTATTTCATGCGCTCTGCCCTCAAGAGCATTTGCCTCGCAGAACGAATCTGATGTCAACATCACTTTGGGTAAAGTCTACTCCTTGGTGGACACCGCAAGGGATGAGGTGCGCCGATATGGCCGAAAGCATATGTTTGAGCCGATTTTCCCGAGGAACAATTCCACGCGCATCGAGGCATGGTGCAAGTCCATGGCTGGGAAACGTTGGCCTGTCAATGAGACTAAAGCACCTGAAGGGTTTTGCCCTTTCCGTGTTATCATATGTGGTCCTTCGTCAAGCTGTCTTAGGGTCACTACTGCTCGTTTGCGTCATGCGGACAAGTGTACGGTTGGTCCCGGTCGTGTGCGGAGAGACGAGGAAAAAGAGATCGCACGAGACATCATGAGTCATAGTGAGGTGAAACCTAAGGGCTTGATGAAGAGGGTTTCAAAAGTACAGGGTGTGTCATGCTCGTACGCTCTAGCCCATGGAGTGATTGCTGAGGTGAGACTAGAGAAAGCATTCGCGGGGGATGAGGGCTTTCAGTACATGGAAGACCTTTTGAGGATTCTCGAAGACAAGAACCCCACTAGTGTGGTATCCATGGAGAAAAAACGAGGTCGTTTTTTCCAAGCAGGTGTCATTTTCCTGGGTGCAAGGAAGATGCTAGAGAACTGCCTGCCAATCATATTTGCTGACGGTTGTCATGACAAAAACCAGTGGGCAGGCCACACCCTCAACTTGTGTCTCCTTGACAGCCAGCACAAGTTGGTGAGACTTGGTTGTGCTTGGGTGGAGGGAGAAAACAAGGAGTCATGCAGTTACATCTTCAATCTGCTTCTGAGGGCTGTTCCTGAAGTGAACTCTGCCGATTACGTCATGATGCATGACCGTGGTGGTGCTTGGAAGGCAGCCACCGCGAGATGCCTGCCATTGATTCGGGAATCATACTGCATCACCCATCTAGTGCGGAATTTCAAAAGCAAATTCGGATCAGACCTCGATGGTCGGATATTGGCAGCAGCCGTAGCTTTGACTGACGCTGTACATGCTGGACACATGGCCAAGATCGAAGAGGAATGTCCTGGGGGGGTAGCATATCTCGTGGACAAATCACTGTCCATGAAGTGGGCAACAACTGAGTTTAGTGCACCCCGATTCGGCTGCTACTCCTCAAATCCAGTTGAGTCGCATCATGCGTCACTCTCTGGATTGAGAGAGAAGAACGCACCACATGTGCTATTGAGGCTGTCATATAAACTCGCCCCAATAATGGAAAAGAGGCGCAAAGCGTACTCTGCCTTGACTGATTCCGACCTACCCACAAAGACAGGGCTTATTGTCAAAGCAAACCGGGACCGCAGCCGATCTTATGTGGTGTCATGTACGGGAGAGAACGAGTACACGGTTGAGCTGGGGGAGACGGAGAGCAGAATCGTGACAACGGATCCGAAAAAGGTGGACAACACCAAGTGCTCCTGCAACTATACACAGTGAGTTCAAGTTGCCCATCTTGCCTGTCTATATAAAATTTGTGTTCATATTTGTTTTAACATACGGCTCAATGTACATTTCCCACATGCATGTGCATACATGCAACGTACGATCACCTACCTATGGTTGGAGGGATCTGCTCTATCTTGTCTTGCCCCCGTGTGTCCATTTTGTTTTATCTGCAGAGAATACGGACTGCCATGCGTCCATATGTTCGCGGTCTTCATAAAGGATGGGGAGAGGGCTCTGGCGATGATCAGCAAGTATCACACTGTGGCGGCCCTGAAGGAAGTGTATGTGACGCCCTGGAAATTGATCGACCCTACAAGTGTGAAGCCGGATGTTACCACACTGCCTCCAAAGTACAAGAAGAAGTCAGGCCGCCCCCCCAAGAAGAGGCTTCGATCGCATGGTGAGCTCGATCCCAAGAGATTGCGCAAGTGTAAGAAGTGCTCGGAATACGGCCACAACTCTCGTACATGTGAAGTGCGTGCAGCTAGTAGGGCTATGTGGGAGGCGTTGATGACACCTGAAGGGCAGTTGCATGCCCAAACGGTGACAAGCGTTGATGGGACTGTCCGCACGATCTCATGCAGGGCGTGCGGAGGACGACATGGCAGGGAGGTGATCTGTGAGCCGTTGAGGCGTGAGGGGACGGGACAAGATGATGATGGGGAGGGCTCCTCTGGTGATGAACTTGAGGATATCACTGATGAGGTGTGTGATGATTCCTCGGATGAAGACAATGTTGAGGGCGGTAACGTGGCGCATGTGATCTTCACTGGGTCACACGCAGGGCTAGAAATACATGCACAAGCTACTGCCACAACCCCCGAGGGCAACCAGGGTCAAGGTCAACAGCCTGTTGTTGAAGAGTCCCCTAATCTTGTGCAAGTGGGAACTCAGGAAAGTTCGGCTGCAGTGGAAATGGAAGTAGTTGACTCTGGGGTGCCCTGCAGGGATGACACCGTTGGTGCTGCTGTGATGCATGGGAGGGGGTCTAGAGAGTCCGTCGCTGCTAGGAGGTTGAGGCGGTTGCAGTGTCTAAAGATTCAGAGGGAAGTTGTCGACCCTGGCAGCATGGAGGGGAGTGGCTTGGACCCGCAGGAGGAGGAACCATTGCTGCCACGAAGTAGAGGAACAAGCAGACGGGGTAGGGGGAGCAGCGAAGCTGAAGGGCGTGCTGGGAGAGGCAATGGCAGGCGTGGAACGGCGAGAGGTGTTCGGCAGCAAGGGAGAGGAGTGGGTGTGGGGCAGCAAGGGAGAGGAGTGGGTGTGGGGCAGCAAGGGAGAGGAGTGGGTGTGGGGCAGCAAGGGAGAGGAGTGGGTGTGGGGCAGCCAGGGACAAGTGTGGGTGTGGGGCAGCAAGGGAGGAGTGTGGGTGTGGGGCAGCCAGGGACAAGTGTGGGTGTGGGGCAGCAAGGGAGGAGTGTGGGTGTGGGGCAGCCAGGGACAAGTGTGGGTGTGGGGCAGCAAGCCAGGAGTGTGGGTGTGGGGCAGCCAGGGACAAGTGTGGGTGTGGGGCAGCAAGGGAGGAGTGTGGGTGTGGGGCAGCCAGGGACAAGTGTGGGTGTGGGGCAGCAAGGGAGGAGTGTGGGTGTGGGGCAGCCAGGGACAAGTGTCGGTGTGGGGCAGCAAGGGAGGAGTGTGGGTGTGGGGCAGCCAGGGACAAGTGTGGGTGTGGGGCAGCCAGGGAGAGGAGTTATGGTGCAGCCAGGATTGGTGCAGCAAGGGAGAGGAGTGGCTATGCAGCAGCATTCGGGTGGGGTGACTATGGGGCAAACAGGGGGGGGGCAGCAAGGGAGTGGGGTGACTACGGGACAGCAGGGGACGGGAGGGGTGATGGGGCTGCAAGGGAGTGGACTGGCTACGGGACAGCAATGGAGTGGGTTGGGAATGGGGCAAACAGGGGGGGGGCAGCAAGGGAGTGGGGTGACTACGGGACAGCAGGGGACGGGAGGGGTGATGGGGCTGCAAGGGAGTGGACTGGCTACGGGACAGCAATGGAGTGGGTTGGGAATGGGGCAGACAGGGGGGGGGCAGCAAGGGAGTGGGGTGACTACGGGACAGCAGGGGACGGGAGGGGTGATGGGGCTGCAAGGGAGTGGACTGGCTACGGGGCAGCAATGGAGTGGGTTGGGAATGGGGCAGACAGGGGGGGGGCAGCAAGGGAGTGGGGTGACTACGGGACAGCAGGGGACGGGAGGGGTGATGGGGCTGCAAGGGAGTGGACTGGCTACGGGACAGCAATGGAGGGGTGTTGGAATGATGCAGCCAGGCAGGGAAGTGGATATGGATCGCTACAGGTTTGTGGGAATGCAGCAGCGCTGGTGGGGTGAAGGTGGTGAGCATGAAGGTATGAAGCAGACACGCCCTGTAGTCGGGAGGGGAGTGGGTGCACACGAGCAAGTGAGGGAAACAGGTGTGGAGCATCAAGACTGAGGAGTGGGTTTGTGGCTACACGGAACGGCACAGGTGTGGAGCAGAAAGGGTGAGAAGTGGGCGGGTTGCTGCAAGGGAGTGGGTGGGTAGGGAGCAGCAAGGAAGTGGAGTCAGTGTGGGCAGGAAGGGGGAGGAGTGCGTATTGGGCACTGAGGGAGAGGAGTAGGTGTGGAGCAGCAAGAGGGAGGAGTTGCAATGGATCAGTAAAGGAGGAGAGAGGGCATGGACGGGGAGTGGGGATGGAGCAGGAAAGAAGGAGTGGGTGTGGAGCATCAAGGAAAACAAGCCCTGGTTAAGGGGCAGCAAGAAAAGGGGGTGGGTGTGGATCAGCCAAAAAGGGGTGTGGGTATGGCAGCAGAAGCAAGATCGTCATCACCACCACTCGCAGTGAATCGTCCACTGTGGGCACCCGCGTGTCCATCCGGCAGGTTCATACATTGGCTGGGAAACTATTTAAATGTTAGAAACCTTAAATTAATGTTACTGAACAATGCAGTACAGTGCTTGCATCATTTTAGGATACCGTAACACTGGTAGCGTATTCATATTGTGCACATTTCCTAAAGGAAACACTCAACACATCGGCAACGAAATTTGCAGTACAAAGCATGGTTTGTGCAACATGGTTTGCAAAACCCTTGTGATACAATGCCTGCGTGTTTAAACTATGTGGAGATAGGCTGGCTGCCAGCCGCTGGCATGAGATTAATATATGTCTATAGTATGTAATTGAAGGCTAGTGTTACAGCACTTCGCTGAGATTATTCTAGATTTGTATACTCTATCCGCTGTATGACGGAGCCTAAATTGAGCGTTCCTAGTTATGGATTGTTTAACATTTTGATAAACATTTAGGCAGATTCAATGAATTGTGAACTCTAGCTATACATATATGCGTTCGAATTCTTTCATAGAATTTGTGAACCGTTATGTTTTGTTACGACGATTCGAACGTAACCAGGTATATTTGCAGTCAAAATGGTTGCGTATATAGGACAAAAACCAGGACCCGAAAAAAAGTGCCCAAATCTGTACAGTGTTTCAGGGCGGGTCAACGAAATGATGACAGGGTTCAAGTGTGACTACCCGTGATAGAAATTAGTGGCTTTAAGTGACGGCGGGTGATACCCGTGTGATGGTTCGTGATAGATTTGGCGGATTTTGTGACTTTGCGTGATAACTTTTGCGGAACATATGACTGCTCGTGATAACTCCTAGATGTTTGTGACGGCCCGTATAAAAACCCTTTTGTGAAGGCTGGAAAAAAACTGCTGTCAGCGGCAAAGCGGGTAAACAATTGTCCGCCGTAATTTATCTCTCACTGCTGACACAGTGAACATTCTAGTTTTAGTATTCCTCGCCGCGGCTGTCTTTGGTTTGACGCTACTCGCGGTGATATTGATTCCTGAAACCAGCTGGCAGCTGAAACCCAGAATTCGTTTGCTGTAGCTTCCCGTCATGTAACTACGATCTTGCGAGCACATTGATATTCCAAAAGTACCAATTTACGTCGAAATAGTGTTCTGACGACCACAGCAGCCAAATTGTATCACACCGCCATCCCAAAACGCGGGGGTTTCGTTTCTTACCATCTAGCAACATTGGGGTAACATTTCGGTAGGTTTTCCAACACCTACTCCAAAGATTGTGGCCAACATTCCCTCTCGTAACTTTGAAATGACTCGGCTTCAACAGAAACTTCTCGAAATCTAAACCACTGAATCTCAGCCGTTAATCTCATCTACACCTAAATCTTGCTTATCGTAACTTTGAAATGACTGACCAATCGGAGCTCGTTACTTGGTCTGCAGGGATGGGCTACCGCGGTGAACCCACGCGCCATCGACTTCATCGTATTGGTTCGCGACAGATTGTTCTTATTGGTTGCGACATCAATCCGGCGATTACATGGAGTCTACCTGGTTACGATTCTAGTTACGCATACACTCAAACGTAGAATGCAATTATCCTATGCGCATATCAATAACCAGTTGTTACGGCGCTACTACGTTACTTTGTTACTACATATTGTAACAATACATTTTTGAAATTATAATTTTACCGTACACGTGATGTGAAACTAACTGAACAGGAATGAATTGACTAAGTCAGAGTTGGGTACAAATGCAACCCTAGCAAACTGTACCCCATATGTGCTACCCCACTATAGCCTACAAACATGCATCAGCTATAATGATCTGACACACCCCCATAGGCAAAGTGGGGGAGAACAAGGGGTCACAAGACCAGTCAAGCAAAGCAAAGCAAAGCAAGCTCAGGGTGGATCACAAAGTCACCACACAGTCCGAGCACAAGAGCAGGGCCAGAGGCCAGTTCACATGCAGGAGTACAGACATATATATAAAACTAGACAAGCAGGAGCAGGTATATATATGACAAAGTACAAGTAAAGTCAAGAAGAGAGCAAGTGAGGCAAGACAGGTACAAGACCCAGCTGGGTACAAAAGCGCTGATGGTCACAAGGCGCAAGTGCCTTGGTGAACACATCAGCAGTGTTGGCCTCAGAGGCCACGTAAGCAAGTCGCAACTGACCACGCTGCTGCAGCTCACGAGCAAGGAAGTAGCGGAGAGCAATGTGCTTCGTTCTGTGCTCCAAACGCTGCTCTCGACACAAGGCCAGCATGGCCTTGTTGTCTACGTACAGCACTGGAGGAGAACGAGGCGGCTCTCCAAGGTCGGTCAGCAGGTAGGTGAGCCAGCGAAGCTCCTGTGCAGCCATGGCCCCGGCGTAGATCTCAGCCTCACAACTGGAGCCGAGAACCGAAGACGAGCGAGTAGACCGCCACGAGACAGAACCGGAACCAAGGCTGAAGGTGTAACCCTGTGACGACCGCTGCGTAGCCTGGTCGTCAGCCCAAGAAGCGTCCGCATGGCCGGTAAGGACCACTGGACTCCGCCCTCCAAGCACTAGCCCCATGCCCGACGTACTGCACAGGTAGCGCAATACCCTCTTCGCTGCAGCCATGTGCTCCGGTCTGTGTCTCCCAGGAGCAACATAGCGTGCCAGAATGCTAAGAGGGTATGCAAGGTCAGGTCGTGTGCAGGTCATCAGGTACATGAGGCAGCCAACAAGCTCTGCATACGGACCACTCGACTCTACGGACTCATCCGAAGGCAGAGCTGAGAGTGAGTGGCGAGTAGGCAGAGGAGTGGCCTGAGGCGAGGAGTACGTGAAGCCGAAGCGCTGAAGGACCTGCTGCACCATGTGTGACTGAGTCAGGGTAATGGTGCGACGTGCTCTGTCCCGAGTGATCTGCAAGCCAAGGTAGCTGCGCAGTTCACCCAGGTCTGTGCACGTGTGTCTCTTCAGCAGCTCGGACTTCACGTAGGCAAGTCCAGCAGTGTCCGCTGTGGCAAAGACCAAGTCGTCGACGTACACGAGGATGTAGAACGGCGGCAGGGAAGTGTCGGTGCGAAGAAACAGCGACGGGTCAGCAGTAGAAGGAGCAAACCCAAGAGCCGCAAGCGTAGTCCTCAGTGTGTCGTGCCACTCACGCGGTGCCTGGCGGAGACCGTAGACTGGTCGTCGGAGGCTCCACTGGGTGCCAGGAGGAAAAGTCCCAGTGAAGCCAGGCGGACGGCGCAGCCAGATCTCCTCGTGCAGGCTACCCTGCAAGAACGCAGTGCTGAAGTCGAGAGAGTGAAGCTCGTAGTCGCGCTGAGCGGCAATGTGCAGCAGCACCCGAAGAGTGGTCATCTTCGGGGTGGGAGAGAAGGTCTGAAAGTAGTCAACTCCCTGCCGCTGACTGAAGCCACGAGCCACGTAACGCGCCTTGAAGACAGGCGGGGAGCCCGGCGGCCGCTTCACCCTGAAGATCCACATGCCACTGACGATGTTCGCCCCAGGAGGGGGAACCGCGTCAATGTAGGTGCTTGTGGACTTCCAGGAAGCCATCTCTGCATCCATAGCTGCCTGCCACTGAGAGGAGTAGGGACCCTCTACGGCCTCCGCGTAAGAACGCGGAGTCGGGATGTCTAGTGCATCCGGGTCTCCCTCAGGGGCAAGCAGTACAGACGCGAGATGAGGTGAAGCAGCCGCTAGACACTGTAACTCCTCCTGCCTGTCCTCTAGGACGTCCGTGCCAAGGGCACACTCACCCCCGACGGACGGAGGACAGGCGGACTCAGACTCAGTGACAAGACGAGCAGCGTAGTCTAGACGACAGCGCGCAGCAAAGTCGACAAGCTCAGTGACAAGGGCAGACGCAGCAGACGACTCGAAGGAAAGGTCAGTGACAGCAGTAGCAAGGAGACGCGTGACAGTAGGACTGGCAGCGCGAAGAGAGTCCGACTCAGGGTCGGCAAGAGCAGGAAGAGAGGAAGCAGGAGGAGAAGGCAAAGGGGCACGCAGAGGAGAAGGCAAAGGGGCACGCAGAGGAGCAGTGGACGGACGCAGTGACATCCGGTGCGTGCCAGGGACAGGAGGAGGACGCTGACGCGAACCACGACCACTAGCGCGTTCAGTACGAACAGGCGACGCAGGACGAGACGCAGGCTCACGACGCTCAGTAAGACCTCCAGTCGGACCAGCGTAGGGAGAAGGAGACGGCAAAGGGGAGGCAGGCTGTAGCTGTGGCTGTGACCGAACAGGCTGCGGACCCTCTAAGGGAGCAGGAGGAGGTGCAAGACCAAGAACCTGCTGCAGGAGCGGAACGAAGTACGGTCGGGGCCGCGCGGCGACACCAGAAACAGCAGGAACAGCAGTAGCAGCCCCGTCCGGAGCACCCACTCCAGCAGCACCTCCAGTAGAACCACCAGAAGCTCCAGAACCCCCAGCAGCAGCACCAGGAACACTGTCAGTCGGACCGCCAACCGCAGTCTCAGCGCCAACACCCTCAGCAGGACCAGCTCCAGGAGAACTCTCAGACCCAGCAGC